TCTTCCTGAGTAATATAGCTCTTTCCCAGCTGGGAATACAGCCATCCAGAATAAAGACTACATTTCCCATTCTCCTTTTCAGCTAAGTGTAGCCATGTGACTATGTTCTGACCAATGGGATGTCAGTAAAAGTGGTAAGACCCGTTTCTGGGATGTGTCTTTAAAGGAAGTGTACATGTCCTTCTTTCTGCTGGCTGGGAGGTAGACTTGATGGCTGGAGCTGAAGCAGCTGAAACTTGGACATGAGGCTTTTGCTGAGGATGATAGTACAACAAGACAGAAGGAGCCTTGATTGGCCTATGTTTACATAAGAGAGATACAGAATTCCATTTCGTTTAAGCTATTCTCTTTCTCCTTTTCTTTTCCCATCATTTGCAGCTAAGCCGAATCTTAACTAATACAAACTAAATCTGAAAAAAATGAATATAAGTTCACCAAGGAATATTTCCAACAGAGGGAACGGCAGGTACAAAGGCTTAGGGTCCTGAAAGAGGCGGTATGCTCAGGGAATGCCAGGGGTTTGTGCGGCAGGAGATGAGGCCAGAAGTGGGTTGGGACAGCCACAGCAGAGCACGGACTGAATAGGGAGGACCATGGCAGGGAGACCTGCTGGGGGCTACAAATGTGATCAAGGTGAGAGACAGTGGTGTGGTAAAATGACCAGTGGTGGAAATGGAGGGGAGGAGATCGATTCAAGATACATTTAGAAGCAAAAACCAGGAGTTTATGAATGTGTGTGTTTAAGTATATGGAGTGGGCGTATCATCAGAGGAAGTCTGGGCTTTTTGGCTTCTCCTCCTCAGAGGCCCTGTGGGTGGAGTTCAGCCTTTCCCCATGGGGAGAATCCTCCTCTTGCTCCCATTCTTTGGGCCCAATGTCCCTGGCCCAGATGCCTCTCATGATGTCATCTTCACCCCATCAAACTTCCCCAGCTTGTTCCAGGATTATTTCATAAAGTGGAAGGTGGGTGGGTCTTCAACCCTATAAATGCTGGCTCTTCCCAGGCTGCCTGAGTAGCCCGTGGTGGAGGTGTCAAGGGCTGCTCAGGTTCAGGCAGCTGGACACTGTCCCTGTCTGGCTGGGGCACAGTGCTTCTGGGCAGTTGAGTAAGAGCCGGGCCTTCAGCAGACAAACAGGCTTGTCTCTATTGGTGGGTCAGCCAGTAGGTCCACAGGAATGTTGGAGGTCAAGGAGTTTGGGGGAACTGGGTGTGGAGTTCAGGCCCACTCCTTGTAAAACTTTCCAGGAAGCACTTTTCTACTGGGGCAGCATCTAGATACTAGGGTACTCATTAACCCCCTGGGTACCAGGAAAGGGCAGGAGGTAAGCACTGGGAGGCAGCTGAGGTCATCCTTCTTTGAACCTCCACGTGGTATTTACTCAGAGCAATTGTTGCCAGAGGCCCAGGCCCTGGACTATAAAGCGGAATGTCTGCTCTCTGTGCCCAGAACCGAGCAGGTGAGCAGCCAGGGCAGAGGGATGTGGGTCGGAGTCCTAAGGGAGGGGACTGAGCAGAGAGCTGTGGGTGGGAACTAAGAATTAAGGACCTCCTCTTGGAGCACTTTGGCAGAGTAGCTTTTTCCCCCACCCCCGGGATACCTCAGTTTTCCCAGCCATGAAATGGGGGCAGGAATAGGTGAGCAGGGGAGTGGTGGCAGAAGTGGCTGAGGGAGCTGCTCCTGGGGTCTCCTGGGCGGGGTGGGGTCGGTGGGGAACCTTTACAAAGCAGTTTGAGCTCCACAAACTCCATATGATGTGACGAGGTGAAAAAGGAGCCCCCCAACCCATCCCAGGAAGACACCCTTTCCCTCCCAGCCACATTCAACTAGGTCAGTCCTCTTAAGCCCTGATAGCTCTGAGCTCCCTACACCCAGGGGAGGGTTAACAGATTTGGGGCAAGTCCCATGGGAGGTGTCCCTTCTTTGCTTCTTCACTCTCACCAGGCCTCCCTTCACCTTTCTTCTCAGAGAACATCATGACAAGTGTGGCTGCAGTTCTGACCTGGGCTCTGGCCCTCCTCTCAGGTGGGTCTCCAACCCTGACTTCACTGTGGAGGTGTGGGTGGAGGCTGGACTGAGGGGTCTGTCCACCCTGGGGGAGGAAACCCAGCCCCTGTTCACCCGCTCCCTCTCCACAGTGCTTTCAATCACCCAGGCACGGAAAGGCTTCTGGGACTACTTCAGCCAGAGCAGCACGGACAAAGGCAGGGTGGAGCAGATCCAGCAGCAGAAGCTGGCACGGGAGCCCACGTGAGTGGCCAGGGCAAGGGGTGCGGGCAAAGGGAGAAGACACCCAGAGGGTGGGATGATGCAGTGCCTGATTGCTCAACCTGTGGTCCTCCCTGGGAAGAGAACAGAGCGGTGCTAGCTCTGCCCTCTATCCTGGTGGGCTGTTCAGCAACCCCTGCCGGCAGCCTCCGCCTTTGATCTCTCTTTAGCTGCTGCCTCCATGCCCGCTGAGGCGTGGGACCAGGGAGCAGGGGAGAGGACCCCCCATTGCAGCCTCCAGAACGAAAGGATTATGTGAGAGGCCAGGTGCCTCCGTGCACAAGGAATTGGGAAGTGTTCACCTGGATATGCGTGTGCCATGTGTTTGTACTTCCTGTGGGAGGAGTCATGGTTGGCTTGGGTTAGTACTGGAGACCCGGCTCTGGGGCCACCGCCCTGCATCCTTGGTTTCTCCATAGGATCAGTGAGTGACGTCTTTGGGGCAAAGGAGATGAGGGCGCTAGCAGTCTGATGGCCTGATTGTCTGTCTCCTTCCCCAGGAGCCTGAAAGACAGACTTGAGCCAGACGTCAGCAATATGAACTTCCTGGAAAAGCTGGGCCCTTTGAATGGGCAGGGGAGGGAGCCTCCCGGGCTCCCACACGACCCGGTGGGCATGCGGCAGCAGCTGCAGGAGGAGCTGGAGGAAGTGAGGGAGCGTCTGGAGCCCTACATGGCGGAGGTGCACGAGCGCGTGGGTTGGCACCTGGAGGGGTTGCGGCGGCAGTTGCAGCCCTACACAGTGGAGCTGATGGAGCAGGTGGCCCTGCGCGTGCAGGAGCTGCAGGAGCAGCTGCGCGTGGTCGGAGAGGGCACCAAGGCCCAGCTGCTGGGGGGCGTGGAAGAGGCGCGGAGCCTGCTGCAGGAGCTGCAGGACCGCGTGGCAAACCACACTGGCCGCGTCAAGGCGCTCTTCCACCCGTACGCGGAGCGCCTGGTGACTGGCATCGGGCACCACGTGCAGGAGCTGCACCGCAGCGTGGCGCCGCACGCGGCCGCCAGCCCGGCGCGCCTCAGCCGCTGCGTGCAGGTGCTCTCGCGCAAGCTCACGCTCAAGGCCAAGGCCCTGCACACACGCATCCAGCAGAACCTCGACCAGCTGCGCGAAGAGCTCAGCGTCTTTGCTGGCGCCGGTGCTGACGGTGCGGAGGAAGAGGCCCAGCCGGACCCCCAGGTGCTGTCTCAGGAGGTGCGCCAACGACTCCAGGCTTTCCGCCACGACACCTTCCTGCAGATTGCCGCCTTCACCCGCGCCATTGACCAAGAGACCAAGCAGATCCAGCAGCAGCTGGCGCCGCCTCCGCCAGGCCACAGCGCCTTCGCTCCAGAATTCCTACAAGGGGACCGAGGCAAGGCCAGGAGCGAGCTGCAGGCTCGCCTCGACGACCTGTGGGAAGACATCAACTACAGCCTTCGCGACCATAGTCCTGGCCATCTGGGGGAGCCCTGAGAGTCTACTTGTCCACGTCCCAGATTCTTGTCTGGGGAGCCCAAGATCTGAACCTCTAACATAGCTATGTCCTTGACAGTGGCCTGTTGGGCAGAGGGTGGAGGGCCCTGCACAGGATAGCTGAGGTCACCCAAAGGGCTGTTGTCCTAGGCCATCCAGCCACCTGCAATTCCCCCGTCCGGATGCATTACATTCACCAGGCTTTGCAAACCCGGCTTCCCGTGCTCATTTGGGAATCCTCCTGAGTTGCTCCATTCTGGGGTGGCGGGAGAGGGCGGGAAGGAGGCACTGTATGTGCAGGGTCATTATGTGCAAGCCTGTTGCCATGGTGCTGGAAGCCCGTGCCTCTTCTTCCCAGGGCCAGGCTCTGATCACTTCTGGCCACCTGGTGGCCACTGCTAGAGCTGGTCCACAGAGAGGAGCTCTTTTCTCCCCAGGTCTGCCATGACAGCTTCTGTTGGGGGAAGAGAAGGGAGAAAGAGCAGAAAATATGATGAAGAGAACATGTGATGGTGTGTGTGTATATATCCCTGCTGGCTGATGCCGGTGCGGACAAATGGTGTGGGTCGTGATGGGAGGGAGCAGAGCCTGGATTTCCTTACATAACACTACATCTAAACAGCTGACTGAGCCCTCCAATCTGTGAGGGCTACTTAAAACTCTCTGGGGAGCCTACTGTGTGCCCTCCCCATCTCTGGCCCCTCCCTCCCGACTCCCAGGCGCAAGTCTAGATTTCTGACACAAATGAAATAGATGCTTATGATGGAAGCTTATTTGCCTGGTGTGACTCTCATTTGGACTACGTCTGAAAGCAGTGGCCTCACCACTATCCCCAAAGCACACCCATCACCCGCCTTCAATCCCGCGCTACTCTTTCTCATTGACCTCTTCCTAATCCAGTTGTATCGGAGGGGCGTTGCTCTGGCTGGGCTGACAGCTGTTTGTCACACCTGTGGTGTGCCTGGGTTAGAGACCCTTCCTCTGCACCTGCATTGTTCACCAGCCTGCTTACCACAGGACGGTGTGCATGAGGTATAGGCCCCTGAGGTGGCCTGTCTTCTTTGTCCCGGCTGTTCCAGATTTTGAATGGCCTCTTTTTTTTTTTTTTTTTTTTTTTCGGTACGTGGCCCTCTCACTGTTGTGGTCTCTCCCGTTGCGGAGCACAGGCTCCGGACACACAGGTTCAGTGGCCATGGCTCACGGGCCCAGCCGCTCCGCGGCATGTGGGATCTTCCCGGACCGGGGCACAAACCCGTGTCCCCTGCATCGGCAGGCGGACTCTTAACCACTGCGCCACCAAGGAAGCCCCTGAATGGCCTCTTTTTTGACTGTCCCTCTTTTTATGACTGACCCTCTTCTTGGACCCTCAAACTCATACTCCCACCCCCATTCCCCATGTACATATTCACTTGGGGGCAACCAAACTCCTCATAGCTCCCTGGAAAGTCTGAAATTGGGGGTGGCTGAAGTGGAGGGAAGAGGAGAGAGGAAAGGGTAAACACACCCAGTCCAGTACCCTTACAACATCCAGGGCAGCACCCTTTCCTCCCGGCTTAGCCCACCCTGCACAGAGTTCTCACTGCCACACTCCCTCATAGCACAGACCCCATCTGAATCTGGCCTCATCATGCCAGCAGACTGGATCTCTTCCACGACACCCTAGATTTAGCACCAGAAGTGGGAGAAAGGTGCCCAGGGAGAGGAGGTGCTGGAAAGGAAAGTTTACCCCCCAAAGAGGTGTTTTTGTTGTTGGTGGTTAGGAGATCAGGAGGGGTGAGTCAGCTGGGGTTGGATATGGTGGGGATGAGCCAATAGGGGTAAAAGTGAGGGCCGTGTATTTGAGGCAGGAATTTGGGCAGGTGTTTATGAGGACAGAAACAGGGAGTGAGAAGAACAGAAATGGAGACAGACTGAGGGACAAAGGGAGGGTGATCTAGAGCCTAGGCAGCATCTGGCCCAACGGCGGATCCAAGCAAACCCAGGGAGGAGCGCACCTCCTCAGGGATACCGATGGACGGCCAGGCCCCTTGCCGTCAAGCCTCTCGTAGTTAGACTTGTGGACTAATAGTTAGAACCCAGTACGGCGGAGCTATTGCAAAGGAGCAAAATACTGCCCTGGGTCTGAGAGGACGCCCTGGGGGCAGTGACGCCTGAATTGAGGTGGAGGCAAAGCCTGGATCCGGCTGGCTTTGGAAGTCTGGACCGAATAATCCAGGGAACTGGAAGACCGCGTGTCACGTACTGTTCTCCGAGGAGAGTCCTCGGCCTCTTTAAGGATGGGCGGGGCGGTAGCTGGCGGAAGTGCCGGAGGAAGGGGTGGGGCCAAGAGAGGCGCAGACGACCGAAGTTGGGGCCTGAGCAGCGCGTGGTCATGTTGGCCAGTGGGGCTGTGGATCCCGGGCTCCCGGCGGCTGCTGCCGCCCCCTCGCCCGTCCAGGCCCGACAGCCCGGGACGGGGCACTTGTTCCGGCCTATTAGCGCTGATGACGAGGAGCAGCAGCCTACCGAGATCGAGTCGCTGTGCATGAACTGCTACCGTAATGTGAGGCGGGGGCGCGGCCACGGGCGGCTGGAGGGTTGGTCTGAGGAGGGGAGGAGCGGGGGTCGGCGACCTGGCCAGGCTGGTCCAGTTGGGGACCCGGATGCGAGGCACGCCCGGGGGTCAGTAGATGGGGGATGGGAGTTTCATTGGTTCTTTCCCTGTCTTCTGCTTCCCTAGGGCATGACGCGCCTCCTGCTCACCGAGATCCCCTTCTTTAGAGAAATAATCGTGAGCTCCTTTTCCTGCGAGCACTGTGGCTGGAACAACACGGAGATCCAGTCGGCAGGCAGGATACAGGACCAGGGAGTGCGCTATACTTTGACCGTCAGGGCCCAGGAGGTGAGAGGAGCCCAGAGCAGTTACCCTAGTGTCCTAGAGAAAGCTTGGGGACTGGAGTCAGAGCTCTGGTCCAGGTGGTCGGACCTCAAATAAATCCACTTAAGTGTTCAAGCCTCAGTTTCCTCCTTTGTAAAATGGCGTTGGTGCTGTCATCTGCTCAGGTGAGGTAAGACTTGTGAAAGCGCTTTGTAAACTTTGTCAGAAAGTATCAAATGAGCAGTAGTTGTTATGAATAGTACTCTCATCGTTTCGGTAGCTGGTTTTCACATCGAGGTACTATTCCGCAGGAGTAGTCCGGACTCCCCCTAGTGGAGAGAGGAAGAGACAGCTGGGCTGGGACCTCTGAGGGCGGTGGTTGGCGGGGGGGGGGGGGGCACTCTTGTTATTTCCTGAGAAGAACCTGTATTGTTGAGACCTCTGTGGACTGAAGGTTTTTCTTTCTGCCCAGGACATGAACAGAGAAGTAGTGAAGACTGACTTTGCCACCACAAGGATCCCAGAGCTGGATTTTGAAATTCCTGCCTTCAGCCAGAAAGGAGGTAAGTTTAAGGTCAGAGTGTTTGCACTGTTCATGCCTAGCTCAAATCTTACTTTCTTGCAAAACTCCTGGTGCCAGGTCTAGTGGCTTGTGTGTGGGTTTGGCCACATCATTGTGATCTTCATCGGTTTAACAGAAGCAGAAAAGCTTAGGTAAAGCAGCTTAAGATAGTATTGGGTTGGCCAAAAGCTTCATCCGGGTTTTTCCACATCATCTTACAGAAAAACCAGAATGAGTTAGAGGTGAATGGAACCTTGTTCCCTGCCTCCTTATTTTACAGGTGAAAACAAGGCCCAGAGGGTTCAAGTGAACTGCCCAGGGTCCTGCAGGCACTTGATAGTGAAGTGAAGACTGACCAGTCTTTTGTTCTTCCTCACCAGCTCTGACTACTGTTGAAGGATTGATCAGCCGTGCTGTCTCTGGCCTGAAGCTGGATCAGCCCTCACGAAGGGTGAGCTGGGGTTTTCTGATGGCGGCAGCTCAAGGAAAAATTATTTATGTACACTTGTTCCCCTTCCCACGTGGCTGAGCTGTCTCTGATTGAATGTTGGAGAACTTTGTGGGGAAGCACACAGCGATGTTATAGCTGCCTGGATGTTGCATATGCTGTACCACTATCCTTTCCACTTCCCCTCCCCCACTGTACATTGAGGCCTCTTCTCAGACAGACACTGTAACATTGCCTCCAAAGACCCTTTCCTGATATTCTTGGGCTTATCTGTGCTTCCTGAGTGTTCCATTGTATCTTATGTTTATTATGACATTTCATATATACATATATGTATATGTATGAAATAATATAATTGCAAATTTAGTCATCTGTCTTCTTAACTGGCTGTGGAGCCCCATGAGAGGGCTCTGGTTTATTTACTGTTATCTATAACCTGGCACAAATGCCTGGACTAAATGGCTGAATGAGTGAGAAAATGAGGCTCATCTGGCACCGCCCATAAACTTCAAACTTATTTGCTACCTCTTATTGTGAAGCCTGAGTCTCTGTTCCCAGTCACACTAAGACAGGTGGTGACTTCCTGTCGGAACTGATGGGGGCATAAGTTCTATCCCCAGGGCTGATCTTTTACTCTTTGTTCCTGTCAGGCGAATGAAGAAGCCATGGCTGAAAGAATTGATGAGTTCATTGTCAAACTGAAGGAGCTAAAGCAAGTGGCCTCTCCTTTCACCCTGGTGAGTACTGAGGGACTCCAGGTGCCCTAGATTTAGGGTAGGAGGGACCATTAAGACAGTCTGAGATTTTTCTGTGTTGCCTCCGTGGTCTGATGGTAGGTGGAGGATCGTACATGATTTCTTGTTATAACTGCTCTCTCTTTACCCATCTGTTAGATCATTGATGATCCCTCAGGGAACAGCTTTGTGGAAAACCCACATGCTCCCCGGAAAGATGATGCCCTGGTGATCACACACTATAATCGGACTCTACAGCAGGAAGAGATGCTGGGCCTCCAGGTAAGTGCACTGAAGAAGCCAGAAGAATGCTCTGGAATTATCTTGCACTCCGATTGCTGGGAGTCAGTGGGAACTTATTTTGCTGCTGCCGCCCTGTGTACGCTATCTCAGCATGTGTGTGCCTCCGCTCTATCTCACTTAAGGACTTTGGGTAAACTTTACAACACAGGACAGCAGTGGCTGTGATCCTATCCTAAGCTCTGTTCTTCCCTTGCCTGGGGCTTTGCTTTCCAACTTCTCTGTTAAACCCACGAGGTGGCAGCTGACGTAAGCAAGCCAGAGCATTTTCTCTCACTCTGGAACAGGGTGTTGGCGAGGCTGAGGTCTGTGTGCCAACATATGATTTGCATCTCTGCTACTTTAGGCAGAGGAACCAGAAGAGAAACCAGAAGAGGAAGATCTCAGAAATGAAGTGAGTCACATTGGCAACTGTGGAGGAAGGAGCAGAGTGGTGGGCTGAGACTGACGCTGTTCACGGGTGGCCGCCAGTGTACCAGCTGAATGTCTCCAGCCTGAGCAGGTTTCACCTGCTTGGGAGGGCTCACTCTACGTCCCCCTGTTGTGTTCCAGGTGCTCCAGTTCAACACCAACTGCCCGGAATGCAATGCTCCGGCCCAGACCAACATGAAGCTAGTTGGTATCTTTTGTCGGGCAGTTGGGTTGCTCTTCATCTGACTCAGGCATGAAGATTATATTCAAGCTGGAGAGTACTCCCTTCAGGGAAAGCACAAGGCTTTATTCCGAGCGATGAGAGGGATGTTGCCTTTGATGAGACCGTGCACCTTGGCTTTTGGGTTCAAAGAGAGAATTAGGCCATGGTCTCTAGGCTCCTGCGTGTGGCCTGAGCCATGTCATCAAACACTGATGAACAGTGATCGCCGTGGGTGGTGACCTTGCCCTCTTCTGGGGGGCTGTCTGAGTTAGGCTGCTTCTTGTGATCTCTTTCCTGCAGTCCTGGGACCAGCAACTGTGTGTTTGTGGGGTTCGGATTTGTTCTTCCCCACAGGGTGGTCTTGCTGTCCTGGAAGCAGATTTCCTTAATTCCATCTTCCAGAAATTCCCCACTTTAAGGAGGTTATCATCATGGCTACCAACTGCGAGATCTGCGGCCATCGGACCAATGAGGTGGGTGGGCTTCATCGTTTGGGAAGAGTAGCTTTCATCCTTTCTGAAGCTGCTTAGGGTGAGGAGCTCTTGAACTAGAAATTAGCTTAGAGAAGAAAAGTTAGAGATAGCATAACTTGTTGAAGACATTCAAAGTTGGTTATATGGAAGAGAGAGAACTACTTTTTGACCTACAGCTCAGAGGGATGGAAGAGCAGGGAGGCAGATTTTGACTCAGTAATAAAAAACTTTCTAGGTCTATCTGAATATAGAGTGGGCTGCCTTGGAGGGCTGTAAATTCCCTTTTCCTGAGTGTATTCAAGCATAAGCTGTTTCAATTCTTAAACCAGAAAATTATAAAGGGAATCTACACACTAGTTGCAGTTGGAAGTCCCTTTCAGCCCCAAGAGTCATTTTTTTAACCGTGAATTCAGTTTCTTGGCAATCTGGGGTGAATCTTTGGCAGGCTGCCGGTGCTGGGCACTCTGCGCCTGGCCAGCTTTCAGTGATTTTGGTTTGGGTGACTGCTGCCACTGTTGGTTTAGAAAGCACTGTCCTTGGTAGCCATTAGTGGGCCTGATTGGAGGTCCAAGCCTACTCCCCCAGCCCTTCCGGGTCTCCCCGCACCAGGTGAGGATGGGTGTCTCCTCTGCTGTTTCTCCTGGCACTGCTGTCTGTTGCAGGTGAAGTCTGGAGGAGCAGTAGAGCCCTTGGGCACCAGGATCACCTTCTACATCACTGATCCCTCAGATATGACTAGAGACCTGCTCAAGGTAACAACCTGCTTGGGGAAGTGACTCTTCTCTGCACATGGCTGTCTCTGTCGAGGGGGAATTTGTCTTTTCTCAATCATGTCCTGGCGTTGTGAAGTACCTCCTTACTTTCTTGGGTTTGAGGATCCCTGAGCAGAGTTAATCCATGGTAGGAAGTGCAGATTCAGAAGGTGACCCCTAAGCTCTTTCTGATGACTTGGCAGCCTTTTGCCTCTAGTGTCTGTGAGGGCCCTTGTTTCTGATCTCTAATGACAGGATGTCTGCCAGCTTGGAGCCATGACTCAGAATGCCCCCTTTTAAGGTTGGTTCTAGGAGTGAGTCTAGCTTTAATTGGAGATTCAGAGAAAACTGGGACAGCTGACTTTGTCCCCAGGTTATCACTGGTGGTACTAATTTGGCAGGAGGACTCTGGTTAGCTTTCTCTAGCAGCTCCTGATTTAAAGCCTAATTTGATCTCTCATCTCACAGTCCGAGACATGTAGTATGGAAATCCCAGAGCTGGAATTTGAACTGGGAATGGCTGTCCTCGGGGGCAAGTTCACCACACTGGAGGGGATACTGAAAGACATCCAGGAACTGGTAAGTCCCCTGAGTATAGTGCATGGCATCTTCCACAGTGCAGCTGTGGGGAAGGGACTGGAAGGCTGCAAAGGTCCTAGTTTTTGGAGCTGATAACTGAGGTTTCTTTGCTTTAAAGCTGATTTGAGAGGCTTAAATATTATTTTGGATTGTGATGATAAGTTTGTTGGAAATTCAGAATGGAAATTCTCACACCTAATTCTGGGCTGATGTAGATATTTTGCGGTTTTGGATAAGTCATTTATTTCACTGTAAAATGGGGTCATGAGGGTCCTTCCAGCACCTAAAAAAGTCCCGAACATACATATATATGTGTGTGTTGACTTAACCCATATGTTTATCCTCGTAATGAATCATTTTGCTTAACTGGTTATCAGTCGTCGGGCATTTTGTCTTTGTAAATTATACTTTATTTTGCACTTCTTCCAATGAGGATTAGAGATCATATTTAAGAACATTTCTATAGTTTTTGTTTCACGTTGCCCGTTATCATCTTGGCAGATTAATTCACACGGTTTTAGGGGTGGCCGCCTAGGTCAGAAAGGCGGTGCGGCATAAATGGCGACCAAGCTTCCCTGACAGGCACCCCTGTCACCCTGCACCAGGTTTATGGTTAAGCCTATCAAACATGGAGCCAGTATTCTAGCAGTTTGGATGCCATTTATTGCAGGTGACCAAGAACCCTTTCACACTGGGCGACAGTTCCAGTCCTGGCCAGACAGAGAAACTGCAGGAGTTTAGCCAGAAGTTGAACCAGGTGAGAGGACTCTGGCCGGTCAGTGCTTGTGGTCCTGGGGCTCCAGTGAACAAGAAGCTGCATACCCTTTCTTGCCACATGTAAACATCTAACCGACATGTTGGGGATTCTCTTGGTTTCTGATATCCCATGCCATCTCCTTTCTTGGTTTTCTCCCTTTTTTTTGTTGGAGCCTCTTGTCCAGTAGCTTCTTAAGAAAATGCATGGGAAGTAAAATTTCTGGGACTTTGCATGTCTGAAAATTTTTTTATTCCACCTTTTTTTAAAAATTAATATTTTAACTTTGGCTGCACTGAGTCTTCGTTGCTGCACACGGGCTTTCTGTAGCTGCGGCGAGCGGGGGCTACCCTTCCTTGTGGTGTACGGGCTTCCCATTGCGGTGGCTTCTCTTGTGGAACACGGGGTCCAGGCGCGTGGGCTTCAGTAGTTGTGGCACGTGGGCTCAGTAGTTGTGGTTCACGGGCTCTAGAGTGCAGACTCAGTAGTTGTGGCGCACGGGCTTAGTTGCTCCGCAGCATGTGGGATCTTCCCGGACCAGGACTCGAACCTGTGTCCCTTGCATTGGCAGGTGGATTCTTATCCAGTGCACCACCAGGGAAGTCCTTATTCTACTCTTATATTAGATTAATGGCTGGGAATAGAATTCTAGGATGGAAATAATTTTTTATCAGAATTTCTAAGGTCTTCCAGTTTCCCACTAATGTCTTTCAGTTTCCCAGTTTGGCTGTTGAGAAGTTTGAAGGCATTCTGATTCCCTATCTTTTGTTTGTGACCTATTCTTGTGATACTTTTGTGTCCCCTGTGATGTAAAATTTCAGGATGTGACTTGGTGTACGTGGGTCAATTTTCAACCATTGTTGCTAAGCACTTGGTGGGTTCTTTGAATCTGGAAACTCATGTGGCTCAGTTCTAGGAAGCTTTTAAAAAGTATTCTATTGCTTCCCCTCTGTTCTCTCTTTCTGAAATCCCTATGTTTTGGATGTTAGACTGACTTGTCTGGTCTTCTGTAATTTACTTATTTTTTTGTCCTGTTTTCAGTTTCTTTGTGTTTGCTCTACTCTTGGAGATTATCTTAATTTTCCAACCCTTCAATTGAGTTTTTCATTTCCACTGACATTTTTATTTTCCAAGTGGCTTTTGGTCTTTCAATACTTTCTCCTCCTTTTAAAAAAATAGCATCCTGTTGTTTTAAGGTTGTAGTATTTTTTTCTCTTTGAGAATATTAATTTTGGGTTTTTGTGGGGTTTTTTTGACGTTTTATTTTCCTCGCATAGTTTCCATTTCCTCTTAAGTTTTTTTTTCCCATTTGATTTCTGTCTTTCAATATTACGGGCTTTGCTCAGATGTCTGGTAATCATTGGTTGTCTATTTAAAAGTAGAGGACTAAAACATCTGAGTGGGGTGAGTCTTGCTGACGTTGGGCTCGTTGGAGGGGGATTTAGCTTGGCCATTTTGTTGAGGTAACTCCAGTGCCAGAGTTGTTAGGTGTTTCCTCTTGGGCTGGTCAGATTCCCATCAGTGGGTGTTCCGTTTCCTGTCTTGAGGGTGGAGGCTTGGCTGGCAGTGTTCTGAGAGCTGAGTGTGGGAAGAGGGCTGGGGTGTGTGTATGTCTGTTTCCAATAAGGGTACAGTGACTTCTGTTCTTGATTTCTTTCCCTCTACGCTCAACTGGGCGAGTGTCCCCCTGTCCATAGTGTGCTGTGGTAACTTCTCCACAGAATTCTCTTTTATTGGGGTGGGGCAAGGGCAGTCGTTGGTCTGTTTGGAATGGGAGAGGAGATTAGGGATGCCGGATTGCTTCTTAAATAGCTGTCAGACAGTCTTTATTTTAGATTCTCTCCACTCCACCTCTAGAGGCACCTTCATTTCACCAATTCTTAAAACGTTGGGGGATTCTGCAGTGTAAATTGCTTTGGTTTCTGTGTGGCAGACATAGTCCCTTCCTGCCAGCAGCTATGTAAGATTTACATGCTCATGCTGTATTCTGTCTCCTTTAGATCATTGAGGGTAACATGAAGGCCCACTTTGTTATGGATGATCCAGCAGGAAACAGCTACTTGCAGGTACTGTAGACCTTCCCTGGTATTTCACAGAGATATCTTTTCTGACCTTCCTTAAATATGTATCATTTCTCCAGAAACTGAGAGACTTAATTCTAAATGAACTGCTTTTTATCAAGGAACCTTTTAGCAGAAATTGGAATATAAGAGAGGAAGGGGGAAGGTGTATGGGACTGTAAGTGTGTGTCAAGAGGGGGAAAAAGGAGACTCCCAGGTTCCTTCTTCCTCTAGTCTAGCTCGAGTCCCAGCTCTAAGTCCAGCAGTGGCATTTTCATTTTGCAAATCGGACCGTGGATTGAGGAGAAATGGTGCCTTGTCCAGAGGCCAAGATGGGAAAAGGCTTTAAGCTGACTAGGGAGATACTCTGGTGATTAACAGTAACTTTAACATTTATTGAGCAGTTATTATGGGTCAGGCAAAACTGTTCTAAGGTCTCTCCACTGTTAAGACTATGCTACTCTCTTCGTAAGAAGGTGCAGATAGAAAGTTTTTCTCCCTGCAGTCCCACTTCTAGCCCATGTGGGTTCTGTTGCTGCCCACGAGTTGAGCCTAGCCATGGGGTGTTGGAGGCCCTTAAAAAGAGAATAAAGGGACTTCCTTGGTGGTCCAGTGGTTAGGACTCTGTGCTTCCACTGCAGGGGGCGCACGTTCAATCCCCGGTCAGGGAATTAAGATCCCGCATGGTGTGCAGCCAAAAACAAAACAAAAAGGAATAAACACCTCCTTAAGGTCCTGGGAAAGTGGGAATTGGAAGCTGTCTGGGGGGGGTGGGGGTGGCAGGATGGCACAGGCACTGATGGTCTGTCCTTGGCCTTGCAGAACGTGTACGCACCGGAAGATGATCCTGAGATGAAGGTGGAGCACTATAAGCGCACATTTGACCAAAACGAGGAACTGGGGTTCAATGACATGAAGACGGAGGGCTATGAGACAGGTCTGGCTTCCCAGCAGTAGCCGTGGGCGGTTCCCGGCCAGCCTCCAGCGCTGCTCAGACCGCGGGGTTATTTATTGCTATTGGAAAAGACTGGAGTGGCCTCCCCACCAGGCCTTGCCCATGTGGGGAGGACACCTGGTCTGAGTCGGAGATCTGAGCACAATTTCTGAACAGTTTGTGACGGAAACGCAAGCCTCTTGGGTTACTTGACCTTGTTTTGGAGGATTTGAATTGGCCTGCAAAGAAACCCAGAAATGAACCATCAGGCATGTCATTGTCATTTTTTTCCTATAAAGTCTTTACCCTCCCTCCACACAATGCTCTCTCATGTCAAGTTGGAACTCTGAAGAGCTGGAGAAGGTGGAAGACAGCTACGTCTGGAGTTTGGAAGTTGGTTTGGGTGTATAAAATACTGACTCTCAACAGGAAGAGAGTCTTCTGAGGGGAGGGAGTCTAGGACAGGTGAAGAAGTTCTCATTAAAATGGTGGCTTTCAAACAGCACTGGCCTCTGAAATCACTCTGTCCTTGTTTTATTATTATTTATTATTATTTTATTTTTATGTTTTGCACTCTGTCCTTGTTTTATTATTATTATTATTTTATTTTTATGTTTTGCACTCTGTCCTTGTTTGTTATGCCGGTAGAATTCAGCCTCCTGAAGAACATTTTCTCCGGTGTGGCTACTGTAATTTGGGGACTGGAGCTGGCATTTCACTCATTCCTTCAATAGATGTTTGAGTGCTTGCTTTGTGCCTGGCACATCATAGAACTGAACAAAATAAAGCTCTGCTTTCATGGAGCTTCAAGTGTAGTGGGGAAAATTGGCAAACAGAGTGGGTGGGGGGTTGACAAGAAACCAACAAGTAGAACAGTGTCAGATTAATCACCATGTTATGGAGGAATGTCAAGCAGGGAAGGGGTCTGGGTAGTGCCAGGGAAGGTGGGGGCATTAGCTTTATTAGATGGAACTGCAGAGACAGGGCAAAACTTAGACCATGCCACTGGTCGTGAATGCATTTGATCCTGCTTAACTGCCCTGTGAGGCAGGGTTAAGACCTGAGCTTAGTCTTGTCAGGCTAAGGTTTGGTACTGAGTAGAAAGGGTAGAGGTGGAACTGAAGACAGAAATGGGCAGGAGGCGATGGGGTGGAGAGGACTATACTGGTAATGTTCACTGGAGCAGAAATATGAGACTTTCCCGATGTCTGCTGACACCAGGGTGGAGGCAGGGCTGTGGAGTTCAGCTTGAGATATGCTGAAGTGTACTAGAAGCCAAGGCAGGGTTGTGGATGGGAGACCTGTGGGGCCCTGCAGCTAGTGAAGCCCTATCAGTCCAGTGCCCCCTTTTCATGGGCCCTGAGGGACCCAGCCTGCTCTTCTTCCTGGGCCTGTGCTGTGACCACCCAGTGTAGCCCAGTGGTTAAAAGTTCATGCTTCAGGGCAGTGACCTCCAAACCTGTTTTCTTATGTATATTTTCTGAACATGTGTTCCAAGATATGCGTATTTATTTATAAAGTATAACAATACTTTATTGACTAATAAACCTTAAAACGTGACAAAAATTTAACATATTGTGAGATAAGTAAAATACGCAATCTAATTCTTTTTCAAGAAATTTGGATTACCTCTTGCACCCCACTTTGTTAGCCTCTGCTCCCAAGGGTCATATGTTCTGGCTGTGTGAAGTTGGGCAACTTAACCTCTCCAAGCTTCAGTTTTCTCACCTGTAAGGTAAGGATAATAAAAGCATCTGAGAAATGTGAGGGTTAAATGAGATAATTCAAGTAAAGCTCTTAATGCCCACAAGAAGAAAAGTCTTCTCCCTAAACTTGAGTATTAGAATTCAGTCTCTCTAGGGACTTCCCTGGCGGTCCAGTGGTTAAGACTCCGCTTCCACTGCAGGGGGCATGGGTTCCATCTCTGGCTGGTGAACTAAATCCCGCATGCCACCTAGCCAAAAAGTAAATTACCTGAGTTTTAAAAAATAAAACACTGAATGACAAAAAAAAAAAAAAATTCTCTCTAGCTTCTCTCTTGCCATGCTGAAAATAGATCTAGGTCATTTTCATTAGAAATATACGCAAGAGATAGCTAGGGGCAACAAATATCAAATGTGGGTCAGATACATAGGTTAGAAACCTCCATATTTTTCATAGTAATTATATTGGGTTTGGAATTCCTGAGTTCCTCTGTTGAATAGTTGTTGTTTTTTTTTTTTAAAGGGCTTCAAATGCTTGGCTTTTTATTTATTTATTTACATATTTTTGGCTGTGTTGGGTCTTCATTTGTGTGCGAGGGCTTTCTCTAGTTGCGGCAAGCGGGGGCCACTCTTCATCGCGGTGCGCGGGCCTCTCACTATCGCGGCCTCTCTCGTGGAGCACAGGCTCCAGACGCGCAGGCTCAGTAGTTGTGGCTCACGGGCCCAGTTGCTCCGCGGCATGTGGGATCTTCCCTGACCAGGGCTCGAACCCGTGTCCCCTGCACTAGCAGGCAGATTCTCAACCACTGCGCCACCAGGGAAGCCCTGTTGAATAGTTCTTGAAAGCCTATCAAAGCAGATTTCTCTCCACCTAAACATACTAATAAAAATAACTGACACACTATGCCAGATGCTGTTCAAAGCACTTTACACAGTAATATTAACCTAGTCCTTGCAACCATTGGGTTCGGTGTCATTTTTATCCCCATTTTGTTAAGTATGCTGCCCAAGGTCGTACAGTTAGGAAGTTATGGAAGCAGAACTCAAACTTAAGCTGCACTGCAGCTCCAGAGCCCCCGTACCTAACTACTGCTCTCTGGTGCTTCTGAAGCTGCTGGGGGCAGAGATCTTGTTGGGGTCGTGGCTGTAGCCTCGCGGCTACAACAGCGCTTGCTGCACGGTCTGTTGAATGACAGAATGGACAAAGATAAGAAACACGATTGTCACGTCACAGGGATGTAAAGTGGGCCCGCAAGGTGCGCGTGTCCCTCGTAAGCCCGCCGAAGCTCACACGAGACTCCCTGTCGGTTCCAAACACCCTCCCTCACTTCCGGTCCTGGCCCCGCCTCCCAGAGTCCTCGCTCTCCGTTTCGCGTTCAAGAATTTTGTCCGCAGCGTCGATCCGCCCCCCCCCCCCCCCCTTTGCTGCTGCCATGGCGGCAGCTCCGCCGCTCTCGAAGGCGGAATACCTGAAGCGTTACTTGTCTGGGGCAGATGCCGGCGTCGACGGGGGTTCTGAGTCCGGCCGCAAGCGTCGCAAAAAGCGGCCGAAGACTGGCGGGGCTGGCGGCAAGGGGTGAGTTGGCCCTGGCGGGGCGCGGTCCGCGCGGCTCGCCGCCCCTCACCTTCCCAGCTCCGCCCTCGGCCCGGCTCTTCCTGGGCTCCTCGCCGGCGGCCCCGAGGGGCCCAAGCGCCCTTGACTGCTCGCCCGGCGCTGCCTGAGCCCAGAGTCCGCTCAGACCGCTCCTCGCGCCCCTGGGCAGTATCTTCGACGTATTCAGGCCCGGCTGTAACTTTCATTACTCTTTTCCCGCCTTTGTAGCATTCCGTCCTCTCCCGCAGAGAATGAATATTGTGCCCTGAGACTAAAGTGGTGAAGCAAATTCAGAGGTTCTGTGCGTGGATATTAAGGGCCCAGAACATGTCGGTGGGGATTCTCCAATGCCAAGGACTCCGGTCCTGAGTCGGAGACCTATGCTCACTTCCTGTTACTCTTTCTACTACTACTAACAATAACAACTAACGCTTATACAGTTCTTGTCATGTGCCAGGCACCGTTCTAAGTACTTTAGACCTAAACGAATTTATTTAAGCTTCATAACAGTACCATGAAGTAGATATTTTTGATACCCCCACTTTTCAAACGAGAAAACTTATGTGGCCCAGTTACTGGGTTGAATAGTGCCCCTTCCCTCCAAGGCATGTCCACCCAGAACCTCAGAATGTGACATTGTTTAGAAATAGGGCCTTTGCTGTTGTAATTAGTTAAGATGAGGTCATAGTGGGTTAGGATGGACGCTGAATCCAATATGACTGGGGTCCTTTTAAGAAAAGGGAAATTTGGATACAGAAACAGACTTAGAGGGAAAACTACCACGTGAAGATGGAGGCTGAGACTGGACTGGATTTATGCTGACAATAGGGGTTACCAGAAGTGCGAGGAGTCAAGGAAAGGTCTTTCCCTAGAGCCTTACTGGCGGGCATTGCCTTGCAGACACCTGATTCCAGACTTGAAGCCTCCAGAACTGTGAGAGAATACATTCCTGTTGTTTTAAGCCACCCAGTTTGTGGTACTTTGTTAGGCAGCCCTAGGAAACTAATAATATACCCAATAAAGTCAAGTAGTTCCGAAGAACTAATCCATTTCCTCTCCTGGTTTGGTTGTTGTGTTATGCTTGCTTTCTGTCCCCTCTGACTTGTGTGGATTCCTTGGAGGCAGTGCCACGTAGTGAAATTAACTTGAGCTTTGGAGTAACACTGATTAGGCTTTGAGTCCTAGCTGTGCCACTTTATGGGCTGTGTGGCCTTGGGCAAGATATTTCATCTGTCTAAGCCTCAGTTTTTTCATCTTTAAAAATGAGAGTAAAACTGAATGATATCACTTATATTAAATGGTTGTTGTCATAAGTGATCTTGCCTTTTCAAATAATAACTGTTAATAATAACTGTTTATATCATGGCATTGTTATTATTTGGACTCATCCATAGTTTATCCATGTAACAAACATTTATTGAGTATTTCCTATGCCAGTTTCTGCAGGGTGTTGAGGATATCACTGTGAGTGAGAGAGGCATAGTCCCTACTCTGATGGAGCTTATAGCTTAGTGGAGATACAGCCTTTAAACAACTAATTACACAACTGGTTGATTTATTTCCTTTGTGATAAAGTATTCCAAGAATGAGTAACGGGGGTTCTTAGTTGGGGGAGGTAAGTGAAATAGTATTGGAAGGTCTGTGAAGGAAGTTATATATATGCTAGGATTTTAAGAATGCGTAAGAGTTTCCCAGTAAAGAATGAGAAGAGTAGGTCAGGCAGAGGGAAGGAACTGAGACGTGAAACTGGTACGGAAAGGAATTTGGCTCATTGTAGGCACCAGAAGATGACTAGTGAGTAGTGAACTGAGGAGGCAGTGGTACAAGATGAAGTTGGCCGTATTGGCAAAGAATGGACCATAGATCTTGTAGGATTTTGAGTTTTAGCCTAAAACCAAAGATAAGTGTTTGTAGGAAACAAACATGTTTCTTCTCTTTTGATCTTTTTATTTTTCACATTTAGAATGCGGATTGTGGATGATGACGTGAGCTGGACATCTATGTCAACCACTAAAACAGAAAAGGAGGAAGAGGAAGATGATGGTGATTTGCCTGTGGTGTGTATCTTTTGAGGCTGTGAGGACTCTGAAACGCAAGCCTCTCAATCTTGACTCCCAGTGCAGGGTAGATTAGTAAGGGGGAAAGTTGAGGGCAGAGAAGAGGTGACACTTTCCAGGAGCTATTTTAAAGGAGTCTTCTTTGCTTATG